CTTTAACTTTTTGACTCTCCATGTCTACTATAATTAAATAATCTGAACAACTTCATAATTTCTTGGAATCATGAATATTTAGAAATGTAGAAATTAAAAGTCTTAAAGCCCATTAGTTTGTGAAACTGTGAAAATGTAAATAATAAAAATTGAAAAAATGCTTAATGATGAACATCAATATTATCAGTCTAACTTTATGAAAAAGTAAAAATAGAATTCTGCCAAGTATCTTACAGTAGGTCTACATTAAAGGTAGGTCTACACTGCATTCCTCTGTTGAGAGAGGAATGCAAATGCAGCTGAATGAATTTGCAAATGAAGTGCAGATTTGAATTTCCCATGCTTCATTTGCATAATGACGTCCAGGTGCTTTTTTGAAATACTCTATTCGAAAGAACAAACACAGTGTAGACGACTAAAAAAAGAGGTTTAAGGGTTATTTCAAAAGAAAGTTGTTTTTTTTTAAATAACCCCATCTAGACTGCATTTGTTCTTTCGAAATAGGGTATTTCGAAAAAGCGCCCGGATGCGTTTATGCAAATGAAGCGCAGGAAATTCAAATAATTGCTTCATTTGCAATTTCACTCAGCTGTATTTACATTCCACTCTCAAAAGAGGAATGCAGTGTAGACATACACGCAGAGTGTTTTGCTAGTATAACTAAATGACTGTATTATGTTGGCAAAGTGCTGTTATTGTGGAAGCAGGCATTCAATGGAGCTACACTTCTGCTGGTATAGCTTGTTCTAGTATAACTTCAACCATCCCTTGGGCAAAATGAGATATATTGGCAAAACTGTGTTTATACTTAGACTTTTTGCTAGCACAGCTATGTCAAATCACAAACCATGCCTCTTCATATCCCTGACCTACATAGGTATGTCAGCAGAAGTTTATAATGTAGATCTGACCTTAGCTCTATCATCTAGAATTTCCTCCAGACTCCTAGGAATTGACATATATTTATTTTTCATCCTGGACTCTCTTTTGTGACAATGCTGCCTTTCCCATCCTTTCCTTCTCGCTTAGGGATATAACATAAGTGGGTAGTTGACTACTCACTTTCTCCACCCCCTCCCCTTGCTGCCTCTGTATTAGAGGCAGCAAGGGGGGAGGGAGCACAAGCTGGTGCTGGGGGGAGCCAGTTTAAAAGCTGGTTCCCCAAGCACCGTCTCTGCGGTGCTGCCTGCCTCCCCCCTGAGCTAGAGGCAACAAGGGGAGGTGGGGAGAAAGCTAGTAGTGAAGTAGTATGATAGAGGAAGCAGCGCAGGTGGGGGGCAGGGGAAGCTGCCGCAAAGTAGCCCCTTTCTGCGGCAGCCTGGGCTGGCCGAGGGTGGAGGCCACTCTAGCAGCAGCCCCTGTTCACGACCATGAATAGAGGTTGCTCTGGCATCATTCTCTGTCCACGGGGGGTCCCAGCTCCCCACTGGCACCCCCTATGGACAGGGGCTGCTGGATCTGGTACAATCTGGGACTGAGCAATCCTGGCTCAGTCCTAGGTCCAGGAGCTACCTCTGCTGTGGCTCTGCAGTTTAAATGGCGGAAGAGCCTTCACGCCTGGCTCTCACTACATTTAAACTGTGGAGTCGCGGTGGGGGTAGCTCCTGGACCCGGTGTGCACAGGGACTGAGGAAGCCTTCTCTTATCTACTAATTATGTAGTCGATAAAAATTGAATTGACTACACGATTAGTGAATTATCTGCCTCTTAACATACTTATTCTCCGTTTCTCACCAACAGTGTCAAAATCTGGTTTTAGATTTACATTACTTTAAAAACCTTTCATGGGTTGTACCCATTTGCAAGTTTGTGTCTCCTTTTTTTCAAAGAATCAGAAACTATTGGATCTCTCTAATCAAGAAATAACACTTGGTTAGTTGGCAAAACAGGTTCCCCCATAGTTTAGGTTACAATAAAAGATTCATTATAATGGTCTGTGGTTTTTTGAATCCTCTTTACTTTCATAAATATCCTCAAAATTAAATCAGACTGAAACTGCACTGATATGTTCATATGCCATAATAATTCATATTTAGAAGAGTTGAATCAGAAAAGGTGTTCTTTGGATAAATATGAGGCACTCATTTCCAGGGACCTTTTTAAAAATCTAATTTATTTGCTTTACAAGAATAAACTCCTGACCTTTTCATCTCTAAAGAAATTATTCCAAAAGCACTATCATGAGTAGTCCTGTGACTATCAGTGGGATTCTGTTGATGGCCAGGAGGTGACTTGGACTAATAGGAATTCTCCCCAGTAGCAAGTGTTTGAAAAAAATGGGTGTTATCACTGTATTGCAGTAATCATAAACAGGCAGGATCTCTTGAAAGCTGAAGATCAATGCTGAGTTCAGTCTGTACTTCGTGATCTATAAATATTGCTCCTGCTGACTTTACATTGTTTTTAAAGCACTGATACTATATAAATATACTCTTTACTGCTGTTGTACAGTAACTAGCACAATTGGGCCCCATTTGTGATTGGTCCTTAGGCATTAATGTAAACATGATTAGCAAAAATGATAAAATGTTTTGAAAACCTGATGTATAAGGAAAGGTTAAAAAAGGGCATCACCTTTAGCGGCGAAGGAGTAGCCCGTGTCTGTGGTGGACCCTAGCGCACTGCAGGCAGGGTGATTACCCTCCCTACCTTTAATCGGTTAACCAGTTAAACACTACATTTAACCAGTTAATCAAGTACACAGGATTTTACTTCCTTAGTGAATACTAAAGCTGCAGAAATGAAGCAGCACTTGATGACTACCTTCACTGTTCATTCTCTCTGGTACACCTGGCATTGGCCACTGTTGGAAGACAGGAGACTGGGCTAAATGGACTTTGTCTGACCCAGTATGGACGTTCTTGTGTTCATTACCTTTATCGAATTATAGCATCTGTAAGATAAGCTGTTAAAGGCTTTGAAATGTATGTCTGTAATGAACATATATATTAAAGTCTAGTTTTCAAACATGACCCTTGTACACTGCCATTTTAAATAATGTGCACAAACTGCATTCCATGCATGTTAACGGCAATATTTGACACCTTGGCCTGCTTTGGTATGACTTCAAAAATTCTTATAGTTTGTACCATTGGCAGTTTTCCATTTTTATGTATTTTAATTTTAATTTTTATGTTGTTTGGTTCTTAAGGCAAGTATCTTCTGCATTCTGATTTATCTTTCAAGTTCTTTGAGGCTTTTTTTGTCCTACTCTTCACAAGGAAGCAAGAAGTGTGACAGGAAGGTGTGATTTTTAATTTACACCAGAGTTCTCAGCAAATAATGACTTTTCACACCCTGTTATTGCTGCTTAGCCTGGGGGAGGAGTTGTATGGCTACTGTTGTCATATCAAATTAAATCCACTCTTGTAATGCAGAAAGACATTCCTTTTTTAACCCTTTTCAGTTTCTGAAGCATATTGATCTGAGATGAATGAACTTTAACTGAATTACTGGTATTTAAAGAAACTTTTTTGAGGGTGGAGGGAAGAATTATTATTGAAGCATATAACATATACATGCCTGTTCTCAAGTTGGATATGTTTTTTGCCCTCCTACAGTGACAAATTGTGGCTCTGGTCATTGTAGGATATTGCATTGTAAGAAAATGTTGGGTCCCATATGCCTAATGTTCCCTAGAAGGAAAATGATTAGTTCACCAAAAACATTCTCTTGAGTCAACTAAGGCTTTTGCTTCTGCTACTTAGAAACTGATTCTCCAGCTCTTTGAGAATTCTGGGCGTGCTTGACTTCCCTGAAGCAGAGCCAGATTACATCAATTTAGTATTAAAAAATAAAAACCACTCATGGCAATGGTGCATCTCTAGAGTTTTAATAGTAAAATAGTCATAAAAAGTGGGAAGGCAATTTCTCTGCATACGTACATATCTCACCAACGCAGTTGTTTATTTTATTTATTTACTTACATAAAGTTACTGTACATCTCCGGCATCTTGAAACCAGTTTAAGAGCAGATCAATAGAAATAAATTTAAGAACCTTGTTTCAAGTTGTTATGGAAGGAGAGATTGTAATTTTAAGGCATTTAAGGAGATGACCTTTAATCTGCCCAGGGCTTTCTTATTTTTTAAAAGTGAAAATGCCTAGTGCAGCTGTGATGCTGTGGCGTAAGAAGTGACTTATATTGGTGTAGTTTGCCTTGGTTTCAAAGAAATAGATCAGAGCAGACGAGCTGTTTAAAAAAGGTATATGTGACACATGGAATATAAAAATACTTGGCCATACAGCAGGGAGGCTGTATAAGGACTAAATCCAGGATGGTGCTGAGTCCCCTTAGGCCCATCAGATAGGTCAGGACTGGAGATTAAGGAACAGGAATGGGCCTTCTGTTTGCTCTAAAATCATTATGTTATGTCTATGTGATATGCATTTCCCTAGAAATAGTTTGAACCTCTGAAAGACTGTGTGAATGAATAACAAAAATAGTCCGCCCTCCCCTGAATTTTCCAGAAGCTTTTATTGCCCTTAATTGTTTGTAATCAAGATTTAAAGTGTTCTCTTGACTAGCTGCTTGGTGGTGTAGAAAGGGTTAATGTGCTCGATTTACTATAAACATATATGTGGCAGACTCTTATCTGATGTTTTTTTCCCCTTCTGTAAAACGTCTGCCATTTCCTGATGAGCGTGGTGGTGGTGAATTTCACACCTTTCTCTTCTCTGTGTGGAAACCTGGGTGTTAATGGATCAGGTAGCATTCTGTGTTGCAAAGAATGAGGGTTTTTTGTTAGAAGAACAGAAGGAAACCAGGGAGGAAAAGAAAGAGAGGAGAAAAAGAAAGAATAGGGAAAAGTGGCTGTTTGATTTAGCAGATAAATAGGTATTAATTTAGTTGGTAAATACCAGCTTTATATCTTATTACATGTTTTTACTCAGTATGTAAATGTAACACTGCCTCAGAAAGGTTGAGCATTCTGTAGTGTTGGGAAGCTGACTCTGGAGAGGAGCATAAAAATAAAGCAATTCTTTATTTTCATTCTACAGTGGAATTTTACTATTGTAGCACCTGAAGATGGAAAGTTGGTCTGTTGATCAAGTCTGCAACTGGTTGGTGCAGAGAAATTTAGGAGAATTAGTTCCTAAGTTTCGTGGTAAGTCTTTTTTTTGTTATATGCGTAATTCATACCTCTTGTATTGGGGAAAAAAAGTATAGTCTGTTGTTTAATTGCCATCTTCTAACTTCTTCTTTATGGGTATGTTTGTATTAATTGCTATTGGATAACTTCAGGTTTTAACAGAATTTATTAGGGAGAGAACTGGCTCAAACCTAATAAATCAAAATGAGCCTGTACATTTATAAAAAGTCTGGAAGAACAATTAAGAGAGGGATTGAAAATATATAAACATGTACACCTAGAAACAATTGGATTTCACAGAATTTGCTTATGGCCACTTTATATTTAATACCTCTGTAGTGATGCAACTTTGATATGTAAAAGTTTGTTTTGTGTGGGAATATATATTTGCTGTAGAAAGGATCGAGAGAGTCTGGCATTCAGACATTCTGTGCAGTCTCTAAAATGTTTCCCCTCATTAACAAAGTAGCAGTATGTTGTAAATAAGATTGCCTTAAAGTATTACAATATCCAGTTTTTTGGTTGCTTTGTGTTCAAAGTACAGAATTTTATTGCCAGAAAACATTAAACCACTAAATTATAAAATAAGTGAAATTATGGCACAGCCTTTTGGAAGAGGTAGTAGCTAAAACAAATGAGCTTTGTGTAACAGTTAATGTAGAAGAACTAACCATGTTTGCATTTGAAAACTACATGCCTTCTAACATCAAGTGGTATTAGGTATTCAGAATCTTACTAAACAGCAATACATAAGGATGTTTTTCTCTTCAATTTTTAGAGGAAGAAGTTAGTGGAGCAGCTCTTTTGGCTCTTAATGATCGTATGGTACAGCAGCTAGTGAAGAAAATTGGACATCAGGCAGTATTAATGGATCTGATTAATAAATACCAGCAACAGAATAATGGACTAGAATCTTTCACTTGCAGTTGTGAAATAGTTCCTCCAAAGTCACCAGAAGCAAATAGTGGGTAAGACTGTCTATGCAAGAAACAAAATATTCTGTTTTAAGTACTGCTATAATCTTTCCTTAGGGTTTTCATGCTGGCAATCATTAGCTTCATAGCTAATATGTTATATAGTTAAGCTATAGAACTTCTGTATAATTTTAGCCCAAGCTGAAAAGTTTAATAGTTTGTGGGTTAAGACATGATATAAATGTTCCTGCACAAGTTGTTATAGGTGGGGCTGCTTGTCCTTACAATATTATATGTTCAGTCGTTTATAACTTTTCCAGACTTTAATCATTTTAGCTGATACCTTCTATGCTGGCATGTTTCAGAGGGGTAGCCGTGTTAGGCTGTTTTAGCAAAAACGAGGAGTCTTGTATCACCATAAGACTAACACATTTCTTTTGCCATAAGCTTTTATGGCTGGAACCGGTATGGTCTGCACTATATTGGCAGGAGATGCATAAGCCCACAAAAGTGTGTGTCTAAATAAATGTGTTAGTCTTTAAAGTACCATAAGACTCCTTATTGTTCTATAATGGCTGTCAGGCGTAATTTAACCCTTCCAATCTTCCAAACAATTCAGACCTTCCTTAGTGTGAAGCTATAGAAAAATGTTTTGCCATGTTAAAAACTTTTGGGGACTTGTTGCTGTTAAAAATGTTAATGACCTTATCTTCTAAATGCTCTCCACTCATAGTTTGGAGAGGGGATTTGAAATTTGGCAGTGGGGCAGCATTTCTGTCAGGGATGGGCCTTTTACTATTCTGAGAAAATCCACCAAAATTTGGCCAGGTTATAAGCCTTTGAAAAATCTCAATTTACACATGCTCAATGGAGACATTTTAGGTGCTATCAGCCAAATTTCCCAAAGATTGTCTGTACTGGTCATGTTCCGGCCCAAGGTTCAGCTGGAATCTTGATGCAGTTGCAGCTTTGTGGTGCTGTGTGCTGGGCCAGCTGTGAGTACTTGAACAGAGACAAGGGGGGCCTCTCTATCCTGTGCTTTCAATTAACCTTCTTCTGGGAACATGGAAGAGGAAGCAGCTTGAATCCAATGCATGTGGGACAAGAACCTATGAAAGGGGGTAGGGTGGACTAGATTAGGACAAGGCGGTGCAGGGAGACTAGAACTCAGCGCTCGGCTTGGCAAGAGTCTTGAACTTGAGTCTGCTAGGGGGTTGAGAGGAAAAATAAAGCGGGGGCTCAGACTGGGAATTGGGGAGAGGGGCAGGTGCTGGAATTTCCTGGCCAAAGAGACTAGGATGAGATGTCTGAGGAATATAGAATGAGATTGACTAAGGCTTTGGGTACGTCTAGACTACAGGATTTTGTCGACAGAAGTTTTGTCAACAGATACTGTCGACAAAGAGTGTCTAGACTACATTCAGTTCTGTCGACAAAGCAAGCTGCTTTGTCGACAGAACCCTGTAGTCTAGACACAACCCTACATGCAATAACACCTTCTGTCGACAGAAGGCATTATGCCTTGTAAAATGAAGTTTACCAGCGTCGACAAAACTGCTGAGTTCTGTCGACGTTATGTCGACAGAACTCAGCGGTAGTGTAGACGCAGGTATAGTTTTGTTGACAAAAGTCCACTTTTGTTGACAAAACTCTGTAGTCTAGACACACCCTTTGTTTACACTGGCATTCTTGTTGTTAAAACTTTTGTTGGTCAGAGGCATGAAAAAGCACCAGTGTGGACTGCACTAGCTGCCATTGCTAATTAGAGGCGGTTATTGATGCCGGTGGGAGAAATCTCTTCTGCCAGCATAGAGCTACTACACGGGAGACCTTACAGTGGCGCAGCAGTAGTGATGCTACCGCCATAAGGTCTCTAGGGTAAACAAAGCTTAAATGAGGAAAATGGGATTTAGATGAGCAGCCAGGAGCAGGGAGGAGACAGGAATGGAACAGGGATGAATTAGAGGAGATAGAGCAGAACAAATCCACTTTTAGCAAGCGTGGAAAAGTCTGCCTACTAAAGAACACTCCCTTCCAGAATCTGGAATGGAACTGGAGAATTCCTGAATGTCTCTGTTCTGTTGGTGTCAACAAATATCTCTGAAAGTCCCGAGCAAAGTGTCCAATCCCCATCTATTGATGGTCCAGAAAGAGAATGGTACTTAATTTGGCCCCCTTGTGTGCTTACATTATGATTCTGTTTTTAATTACATGATGACATACATCCCTCTCTGACACATGCATGTGCTCATGCGACCCATGCCTCATTCATTGTACTGCATGGACCAGGTCTAAGGATGATTCAGAGTTATGTAGTGAAATTGTTGTTGTCTATACTAGAACCCCTGCCTCATTTATTGCAGAAGTTGGAAGATGTGTAGAGAATGAGGCAGAGAAAGGATGATCTTGTGGCTAAGGCAGTTGAGTGCTGCCCTGGAAAACTAGATTCTTTTCCTGCCTCTGAGCTCCTATATGATGTCCATGAAATCAAGCTTTTCTCAGGTGGTCACTAATTGTGCGGGCCTTGTTTTCTGGGTGTGTGTCTCGAGACCATAGGGGTCTTATTTATAGAAGTGCTAAGTACTCTCATCAATGAGAGCTGTGCTTTAGATACATTACATTCTATATAATGAAAAGTATTCTGAAAATCAGATCCTAGGTGTGTCAGATTGAGCAACCAGAACTAGTGGATGCTTTGACCCAAGTTTTTCTGTGCTTCAGTTCCCCAGAGGGTAATAAAATATGTATACACTTGAACTTCATTACGCTGGGTGTGTCTAATTGGGGAACATCCATGGTACGGAGGAGGAAAAGGTTCTGTGTGGGAATGGCAGTGCAGTGATCTTCTTCCCCTGCTGCTTTTCTGCGCTTCTCCCATAGCAGCAAGGGGCGATGCCTGGGAGTGGCAGGGGGTGTGGAACCACTTGTGTCCCCCTGGAAGCAGGGTGCCTGGTTAGCGTCCTACCCCCACATCCCTTCATGCCCAGACTCCACAGCACCCTCCCTGGCCTGGCAAAATCTTTAATCTGGTATTTCCTATTTCCCGGGGTTGCTGGATTAAAGAAGTTCAAGTGTAATCATTCTCCCTCATCTCACAGGTGTGTTTTGAAAATAAAATATTAATGTTTGTGAAGCACACATACCATAGTAATGAACACCAAAGGCCATGAAAAAACGAATACTGTCTTCATCACAGGATTTAAATAGTGTTCATTATATAAGGCCCAGAGCCTCACTTTGAGCAATGAGTCAGAAACAGAATATTGAATAGTTTGCTCAATAAGTGACCACCATCCTTCCTGTGCAAGAGTAAGTAAAGAGTCCTGTGGAAAAATTAGTATGTGATGATATTTCATAAATGTTCACACATAAGGGGGCTGAATAGAGATTCCATGGTCAATTTTTATTCTGGCATTTCCTACTTTTCAAATGCTTAACTTTGCAACTTTAATTTTTTTTTTTTACTGAAGTTTATGGTGTGTAATAAATATGTATATTGCACAGTTTTTTTAGGAATCCTTTATTTGACCTAATTTCATGCTCTAGTAACCAGAATTTGTTCTATGCGTGCATTTTGGAGCACAGTAATACTTTTTTACTTTTAACACTTTTAATAGTTTTGCTACAAGCCACCTTTTGACATAGCGTATCAGATTATTTGGGGAAAAAGCATAATTACACAGATTCATTATACATACCCAAACACAAAAAGGATTATTTTTTCACTGCTTGCTTGCTGACACTAGATCAGATTACAGAGCCCTTATTTGCATTTCGTCTGCACAACCTGCCTTGCTTTTCGTAGTGTCCCATGGCAAAGCATCTACCACACTGTAAGAAGCAAAAGGTTCTTCATTCTTTCTTCTGCCTCCATCTCTTCTTGCATGAATGCCTTTCTTAATGTCACTGGTGCTTTCTTGGCCTACTATTATTTAAGTTCTTTTCCTTCCTGTTGTTTGCTGTCTTTTGGTTGTCAGGTGAGAGAGAATGATTTCTAACAGCAGGCATTTTGTACAACGTCAGCCTATCTTTTGCTTATAAAAGGAGAACTACATTAATTGGATAGAGTACTGCAAGCACTGAAATGAACAAGTACTGTAATAAAAATACTGTGTCTGAAATGCTCTGACTTAAGTGAGTGGTTTGAGGAAATGACCAGGAGAAATGAAGAGGCCCACAGAAAAGGAAATCAATCTTCACTTGAGTGTTGCAGTAATTGAAGTCACTTGTGAGCAACAGGTTCCAATGCACCAGTTGTATTAGTATGCTTGCTGCAATAAATGGAGCAAGCCAAACTTCCCTAATATTCAAGTTCATGGAAATTTCAAGAATACTTTCTCCAACAATCTGAAGAAGTGGTTTTGACCCGTGAAAGCTTATGCCCAAATAAATCTGTTAGTCTTTAAGGTGCCACAGGACTCCTCGTTGTTTTTTTCAGATACAGAGTAACATGGCTACCCCTCTGAGACTTGTCACAATGCTGGAAGTGATATTTTTGTATAGATGTTTCAGTGTCTCAGTAGTCGAAGTGAGAGCTGCTTTTTTACTGTTTGGAGTAGAAGATCCAAACTAAGGTAGGCTAGTACAGCATTTCTTACTTTTATGGCAAAGTGAAGCAAGATCTGACCTATTCTCAACTTGTCATTTTTATTTGGGTAATATAATAATTTTTAAATATTGCATCTAATCAGTTCCAAAATTGTGGGGAATGTTCTAGGCTGCAATAGGCAAACCCTTCTGATTTCAATGAAAATTGACTTGTGGAAGCCCATGCATCTGCTTAGTGGAGCTTTCTGCTTTAGTCGGGTCTGTGATTATTCAAAGATCAAAGAACTGGTTGACAAACGGCAGTTTTTGGCGACAAAACATGTCAGTGTAGACGAAAGCCCAAGTCTCTTGTTTTGTCATGTGTTGTAATGGAGAGCTCTTTCCCGTTAGAAGAAATCAGACACTAAATATAGGAGAAAAAAATAATCAAGAAGCTGTTGTATCTATGAAATTTTCAAAATATAGTGATTTGCTTCTCTGTAATTACTTATTTGTAGTGATTAGAACATCTTTTAGCTATATTCCTTTAGCTTTCCTTTTAAGTTGGCTGGATCTGATGATTAATATAATTAATCACCCACTTCAGACACATCAGTGTCACTTAAAATCAGGACTATTCAACCTGTTAACATTTTGGCATTTTCTATTTTTGCAACAGGTATGTGGGAATCTTAGAATATATCTCTTTGTACAAGCTTTGCAAAGTATACAACTCACTAATGAAATTCTTCCCTTCTAGCACCACGGGTGTCCAGGTATTCAGTACTTTTGATTCTACGGAGTGGACAGATTATATCTCTCCAACTGAAAAGTATGATGGTGGATTAATTGACCGAAGAGTGCTAAAGCAGAAGTGAGTTTATAGTGCACTTGTTAATTCTACTTTTGTTCTGAAAACAGCATTACATTTCTGTTTGGTGATGAGACTCCCTCACCAAAGGCTTTTAAGTAAAGTAAGTTGTTATGGGATAAGGAAGGTCCTTTTGTGGATTGGCAACTGGTTAAAAGACAGGAAACAAAGAGTAGGAATAAATGGTAAGTTTTCCGAGTGGAGAGAGGTAACTATTCGGGTCCCCCAAGAGTCTGTCCTGGGACCCATCCTGTTCAACTTGTTTATAAATGATCTAGAGAAAGGGGTAAACAGTGAGGTGGCAACATTTGCAGATGATACTAAACTGCTCTAGATAGTTAAGATCAAAACTGACTTTGAAGAGCTGCAAAAAGATCTCACCAAACTAAGTGATTGGGCAACAAAATGGCAAATCAAATTTAATGTTGATAAACGTAAAGTAATATACATTGGAAAAAATAATCCCAACTACATATACAATATGATGGGGCCTAATTTGGCTACAACAACTCAAGAGAGAGATCTTGGAGTCATTTTGGATAGTTGTCTGAAAACATCCACTTAGTGTGCAGCGGCAGTCAAAAAAGCAAACTGATTGTTAGGAGCCATTAAAAAAGGGATAGGAGAATAAGACAGAAAATATCTTATTACGTCTATATAAAAACCATGATACGACCACATCTTGAATACTGCATACAGATGTTGTCGCCTCATCTCAAAAAAGATATATTGGCCTTGGAAAAGGTTCAGAAAAGTGCAACAAAAATTATTAGGGGTTTGGAACGGGTCCCATATGAAGAGAGATTACAAAGACTCGGACTTCTCAGCTTTGAAAAGAGGAGACTAAGGGGGAATATGATAGAGGTCTATAAAATCATGACAGGTATGGAAAAAGTGAATAAGGAAGAGTTATTTACTTGTTCCCATAGTATAAGAACTAGAGGCCACCAAATGAAATTAATAGGCAGCAGGTTTAAAACAAACAAAAGGAAGTTTTTCTTCACTCTGTGCATAGTCAGCCTATGGAACTTCTTCATGCCAGAGGATGCGGTGAAGGCTAGAACTTTAACAGAGTTCAAAAAAAGAGCTAGATAGATTCATGGAGGTTAGGACCATCACGAGCTAATAGCCAGGATGGGTAGGAATGGTGTCCCTAGTCTCTGTTTCTCTGGAGGTGGGCTGCAGGGGAGGGATTACGTGAGGATTACTTATTGTCAGGGCTCGACAAATGCACTAGGCCGCTCGCCCGTGGCGAGTAGATTTTTCCAGCTGGCAAGTGCAGGGGCAGACTGGCCCGGTGGGCCGTTGTGATGGGCTAGCCGAAGCCCGCACTACGGGCGGCGCGGTCCCATCCAATCCGCCGGCCGGCAGAGGAGCACAGCGCCGCTGGGAAGGGGAGAGTGCGACGATTCTTCCCACCAGGCAGAGGAGGCGGGGCGGGATGCCAGGACGCTGGTGTGACCTGGCCCCACTGATTTTAAAGGACCGCGGCAGCTTGGTTCTGGCCACGTGTCCCTGGGAGCTGGCTGCTGCGCGTGGCACAGCCAGGGCCAGCCCCGCCGGCTCCAGTCCTGCCATGGCCCCAGCCCCCCTTTGTCTCCATGCCGCCCGTTCCCCATGCCTCATATTTGCCCACCCCGGTATAGGGGTTGCAGCAAAGATTAGGTACCGAGCCTGTTGCACTTTGTCCCTACCTGTGTCATTCACTCACTGGCCTTGGACAAATCATTCCATCGTTGTGTCAGATTCTCCTTTATAACCGGGTCCCAGTGTGAAGGGGCCTTGAAGTGGACATAACTGTAATTCAGACTCATTTTAAGGTCCTTTCAGCTCTCTTCTAGGCTGTGGGTCTCCATTGCCATCGTATTTGAGAGCCTCACCATTTTCAATGTGGGTGAGGTAGGAAAGAGCTTTTATTCCCATTATAGAGGGGCTGGACAGGGCAGGGGAAAGGTTGATGTGACCCAGCAGCGAGTGAAAGGGGGAGTTGACTTGAAGCGCCTTTGCCTTAATGGAAAAAAACAAATGAAAATGCTATTTGTTATTTATAGGGCTAAAATGCCGGGACAAAAAAGAAAACAAAAAACCCACTGCAAAATGAAAACGTGTAAAAGACAATGGGGGGGGATGTTTTGCTTGGGGCAGCAAAAAACCTAGAGCTGGCCCCTGGGGAGGGGAAGGGGCTGGGCTGTGGGGAGGAGAAGGGAAAAATATGGGCTGCTGCTACAGCTGCCTTCTGCCTGCACCTCCTGCCCGGTGCCTGCCAAGCGCTGGGTCTGGCTCGCTCTCTCCCGCATGCGCGCAAGCCCCTTTCCCCCTCACATACACGTGGTCCCAAGCCGGCCGGCTGGAGTCAGGATCCATGGCTCCTCCACTCCACCCAGCCCACTCAAAGTTGCAGGGATCTTCCTTCTGAAGGCAGGCTCGTCATTTTTCAATGGTGACACCACGAGGGCGGGAGAGCCAGGGGAGGGGAAGGTGCTGGGAGAAGGCTTGAAAGAAGGGGTGGGCATGAGGAAGGCGGGGACGGAGAAAGGCATGTGTGAGGGCACAGGGGCATGAGGGGAAAGGGGGCAGAGGGTAGTGAGGGGGTGGGCATCAGGGAAAAAGAGGGCAAAGGGCGCAGGCTCAGTGAGGGAAGTGGGAGGCACCAGGAGGGTGCCGGGGTAAAGGAAGGTGCAGGTGCCAGGGGATTCTGGGGGTGAAGCAGAAGGGCAGACACCTGCAGGGGAGGGACCAGCACCAGAGGAGAGAAGCAGGGCAGGTGTGTAGAGGGAGGTTTTAGGAGAGGAGATGAGGAGGGGTAGCTAACATGATCAGAGTGGGGCTACTGGAGGAGTGGGCACAGGGCAGAGAGAAGGGCTGGCGGAGGGGGGCAGGTCTCAAGAAGACTGAGGCAGTGAGAAGGGCAGGAGTCAGGACAGCAGAGGGTGAAGGGTTGGGGGGCAGCAGGCACCAGGGGAGCTGGTGGAGCAAAGGGAGGAGACATGGCAGCAGAGAGAAAAGGTAGAGGTTTATAAGATATTTATTAATAACCTGAGTGATATTTATTAATAACTTATTAGTAATTACTGTTCTTATTCTTATTAGGAATTTATGCCATTAAAAAAACACTTTTTTGGGGGGAGGGTGGGGAGTCCCTTTTTTGTCTGGCGAGTAGGGTTTTCCATATTTTGTCGACCCCTGCTTATTGTGATCCCTCCCTCTGGGGCATCAGGTATTGGCCACTGTCAGCAGACAGGATAGTGGGCTTGATGGACCTTTGGTCTGACCCAGTATGGCCGTTCTTATGGCTATGGAGTTATTCCACATTGCCAGAAAGTCTCATATGCTCTTTTGGAAAAGTGAACTTGTCTATTCCTAAATACTGAACTACAAATCTGTCTCCAAATATAGAGACGTAATTCTCAGATTAAAAGTATTGGAACACATTTATCTAAGGAAAGACCAAAGCCGTGGTTAAACAGTGAGGTGGTCTGCTTTGATTTATTTTCTATATGTTTTTTGTTTGTCAGTCTCTTATGTGAGTTGCTGTGGGTGGATGGGAGGACCTGTTTTGTTTTTAAATTGGAGATTACCAATCTCCTACAACTGGAAGGGACCTTGAAAGGTTGAGTCCAGTCCCCTGCCTTCACAGCAGGACCAAGTACCAACCCTGACAAATTTTTGCCCCAGATCCCTAAATGGCCTCCGCAAGGATTGAACTCACAACCCTGGGTTTAGCAGGCTAATGCTCAAACCACTGAACTATCCCTGAAGGTGATTGATAGGGCCCTCTGGTAGGTGCTGAGAACACATATTTTTTTCCATGGATGCTGCAGCCCTTTTATCCACTTCAAGCGGATTATCTGATTAACCAGCCAGCTTTTCTAGACCCTTGATGAGAATTCCTAGAACACAGGATATGTCTACATAGCAAATGAAGGTGTGATTATAACATGGGATTATAGCATGCTAACTTTAATCTAACCAGCCCAGGTGATAATAGTGATTCAAACACAGTAATGCAGGCTTCAACTCAAATATGTACTCAGTGTGCCAGATAGGTATGTACTGGGGCAGTTAGCTTGTACCGTAGTCCAGTGTTTCTTAACCAGTGGTACGAGTATCCTTAGAGGTACTCGAGAGAAGTCTGGGGAGTATGTCAACATAACTGAAATTTGAAGAAAACTGAATTTTTGTTTTAAGGTTTACAGTACTTTATTATTTTTGTACTTTTTACACCCAAAAATTCAATCCCCCGCCTGGTTATGATTAAGTTGTTTAAACAAATGTGTTGCAATGGTAGGAAAAAAAAATGTCTCTCTGAAAACTGTACATACTGGAGGTGTGTGTGTGTGTGCATGTGTGTGTGTGTGTGTGTGTATATATATATATATATATATATATATATATATATATATATATAAGAGCGGGTACCTT